TTGGACTGTATGGGTGTCTACGCCACAGTCCCCCAGCTTCCTAATGAGAATGGGGTGAGAGACAGTATCAAAAGCCTTCCTGAAGTCTAGGAAAACTATATCCACTGCCACTCCTGCATCCAATGATTTAGTGACCTGGTCGTAAAAGGCCACCAGGTTGGTCTGAAAGGACCTGCCGCTGATGAACCCGGTTGGTCTGACAGGACCTGCCGCTGATGAACTTGTCAACTTCCAGTTATCATTTCACATATTCAACATGCTAATAGTGTCAGATTTGATTCTGTTGTTTTCTTTCTTTTCTTCACATCTTGAAATGCACTTTATTTGTTTTCATATAATCTCCCATCAGTATATTCTGGGTGAAGCAGAAATCATCTAAAAGTACCTAGATTTACTGTTAAGAAAGAATTTTCCTCTAAAATATTGGGCAAATAGGCGAACAGTGGGGAAAATGATCCAAGGTGTACAGAAAGTGAGGGGGAAAAAATGGCAAGTTATAAATTGAAATGGGTTCCAGTTTAGGAAACCCAATAAAGTAAGTGAAATATCTTTTTTCTTTGCCTCGCCCCTTAAGTTGATGACTCCAGCACTTTGGACATTGACTTTAAGTTTATGGAAGATATTGAAAAATCTGAAGCACGTACAGGCATTCCCAGTACGCAGTATACAAAAGAAACACCTTTTATTTTCAAGTTAGAAGATTACCAGGATGCAGTTATCATTCCAAGGTCAGTACCATATTGCTATAAGTAGTAACTTTATTAATAAATATATGCCAATAAAAGTAAACAAATAATATGTTAGAGCAAAATAGTTGCCTGTATTTTGCATATAAACTTAAAGACATCTGATGATGGATTACATTGCCTGAAATGACAAAGTTATTGACAAATTTTTGGTAGGATTTATATCTTTGGAGAGCTGTTCCCTACAGGTTACCATACCACTTACACAATGTTCTTTTCCAATAGAAAGTTTACTGAAGGTGTTTTAACTTGGGGAGATGAGCAGACGTTTCTGTCTCCAGTTCTGTAAGTCTTGCCACGACAGTCCCAGCACTGATGAACGAGAGGAGATTCTAAATTACTCCTCTGAGACTGCAAAAAGAAGTGATAATAAACTAGGTTGGATTTTTTCCTGTAGTAGACATCACTGCATGGCAGCTATATTTGCTACCTTAAACCAGGCTTGATTATTTAAAATCTACAGCCTAAAGGACAAAGTACATTTTTTTCAATTCAAAATCAACTTTCATATTAACATATGGATGCAATAGCTGGAAATCTGCCGGAAGTGCAGATGTCTAAGTACCTTTCAAGGCAGGTGCCGCAGAAAAAAACACCTTGCTATTAAATCAAATGATTTTATAGCAAATGCCAAGATTTGTGAGAGTACAGTGTCCTTTATTTCTAAAGTTATCCTGAGAAATTGGAAGTGAAGTTTGGGCTAATTGTGAAGAATGAAACTAGAACAGGACTGCTACTTAAGAACCAGAAGAATATGTTCAATAGGGACTGAGTACTTTTCTACCCACCTGGTGCCCTCCTTCCTGCTGGTTGCTGTGGTAAACAAGAAGGTCAAGCAGCTGCCCTCTGCTCCTAAAGAAAGATAGCCTAAACTTTCTGACCTCTCTTGTTTCAAATCTCGTAACTTAGTCTCTAGTTAAGTTAGGTTATTATAAGCACTGCTTGCCAGTTGTCTCTTTCAGCCAGTTACAGATGGACTCCTTACTAGAGGACCAAAAAAGCTGTTTTGCCTCTCAGAGAGAGACGTGCAGCAGGTGTTCAAACATCTCTACATGCAATCTTGGATGCAACAGGGACTGCCTGTACCTTTTTATGATGCAGTCCTGTCTGTAGGCTGTTATCTTTTCAGGAAAGTGTCTGCTAGGTATGACAGTGACAGTACCCCTGAACTGGTGGAAAGACTCAATTTGTGCAAGAGGCTGCTGTTTGTCACTTTATACCCATCAGTCACAGTCACAATGGGTATCTTCCTATTGGGATGGGGAGGCCATATTGACAACTTCTAGGTACAAGTCAACTGGGTACTGCAGGGATGAAATTTCATATTGCCCTGCTAGAGCTCATTGTGGTACAGAGAGCATGCCAGGCTTCCTATGCCAATACAGCAATGTTACCATGGTGCTCTTGTCAATCTGCATAACATCCATGTATTGTTGTAGGAAGTCTGTGCAGGTAGTCTCACTCCCCTCCATGCCTTGTGGGCAGCCCAGTTCTCGCCACCATGTGCACAGTCTCACTCCAATTCTGACTGGGCATGCCATGCAGACAGCTTCCCCGCTCTGCTACTGTGTGCAGTGTGGGCAGCCCAGCTCCCTGTCTTGCTGTGTGCCCAGCATGAGTAGCCCAGCTCCCTCCCCTTCTGTGCACACAACACGTACTCCAGCTGTCCTGCTGCAGACACT